AATAAAAAATATAAAAATTAATATTTTAAATAACGAATGTTAAAAATTAATATTTTTATTTAAAATTTAAGAAAATTAATATTTTTAAATAAAAAGTACAAAATAAACATTTGTATTTAGGATGATGAATAAATAATCTTTTTGTATTATTTTTTATATAATTTTTATATATTATTAAATAAATAAATACAATTAATATCATGAGATTCAAATAAATAAAAAAATAAATCATTAAAGTAGCACGTAAGATTATACAAAAAATAATATAAAAAACTTATTAAAAAATTTATTCCTAAATCATTTTCCTTTTATTTATATCTTTTCTCTACAAGTCAATCCTCTAAATTAATTAAGATAACAAATTATACTAATCTAGACAAGAAACCACGTAGCATATATGAGATACACACAACACAAAAGAGATTCAAACCTACAACTTTAATGTTGAATGTGCTAGATTTATACGGCAAGATAGTTTAGAAATGAATAGTATACAAGAATTTTGCAAATCCAATTGTCCTTGCAATTAATATAAAAAATCTTATTTTGCACTTTTCTATGGTATACATATGTTACTAGTTAAGATGGTTTAGGTCTAAGCCCCATTAATTAAGCGGAAATTATGACTCATGTGTGAGAGATGTGAACTTCAATCGCCCACCTCACAGATTGTTGAATATTATGTACCTATCCCTCCTTAGCTGTCCAGCCTAATCAAGCTTATTTCATGGCATATTATGGAAATAAAATTTAAAACTCCTTATTGATTTCAACTCTAAATTAATTAAGCCCCTTGAAATAATATATATGCACACATAATGTATAAGTTCTTGCTTTCCACCCTCACTATTATAACTCATGAATTAGTGGTCCAAATCTGTATAATACATAAATATTTTTTTTATTTTGGACCATTAGTAACAACTAATAATCATAATTATTTATTGATAAAAATGATTAATATTTATTATTTAATAAATGAAAATTAATTTATAAATTTATGTTTTCCATACAGGAAACTTAATTATTATTTTTAAAAAATTATAATTTGTGTGGACATAAAACTTCTTGATGTGGAAATAACTATGCATGTACTGTTCATCACATCATTTTTTTTTTCTTTTTATTAAGATAATGAATTTAATTTACTGTTTTTATATCATTATGATGTTTCCCCGTCAACTAATTTAAATTTTTAATACCAATTTTTGTCGAATAATTTTAAGATGTAGTTTTTATTGATATGATAATTAAGTAAGTTGAATATTTTTAGATATTAACTCAGAAAGTTAAAATCTAAATTCATTTTACAAAATAACACTTACAAATAACTCTAATCCTTAAGTTAATATTTCCTTTTCTTTGATGGACTTAAGTTAATTTAATTAAGCATTTACTATCTGGTACTATGTGACCTAATAACCACATTCTTTGTGAAAACATGCCTAAACATAAAAGTCATAGGATTTATTTTTAAGCACTATCCTTTATCCCAACAATTCCACCAATATGTGGTCTAGTAATCATCTCTTTTGTGAGAATGTACCTAAACATAAAAGTCATAGGATTTAAATTTATTTTTAGGCACTATCTTCTATCCCAACAATTTCGATAATATGTGATTTAGTAATTATCTCTTTTGCGAGAACCTATTTGAACATAAAAGTCATAGGATTTATTTTTAGGTACTATCTCTTATCCCAACAATTCTGCTAAGTAAAAAAAAAAAAAAAAATTAAGCATTTACTAAATTAATTTATGAAAAAACTCCACTGATTCGTTGTGTTTCTTCTCTATACCGCTGGCACCTCATTGCTTGTATCAGCGAAAGGGACAGAGTCACAGAAGCAAAGATATGAAAAGGAAAGTAAAAGCATCTCGCCTACGTATCTAAAGTCCACAGGTGGAAATTGTGGCCTATTCTCAACTTCACCGGATGTAAACTTGAACTCATGAAACCCAGCTTCTTTTTGGGAAAATATTAACATTGAAAAAGATATGTAGACAATAATTTTTTTAATAAATTTTTTAATTTTCAATATTATTAAATAAATATGCAATATTATAAATTTTAATAAAATAAAAAAATCTAACATAAAAAATCTAATCATTAACTATCATATAATTTATACACAAAAAAATTGTTTCAATCATTTTTCAATTTATGTATTTTACTAGTTAGTCAAAACTCTATCTAAAGTTAATAAATTTACTTCAAATTCTTAATTAGATTTTTAGTCTTTTATTAAAATAAATAAATCTTTAAACTTAATAATTTAAGCAATTTAATTATCTTTCTTTACAATAAATCTAATACTCATTTGTCTTTTACTTACATAAATAAAATATTGATATTTTATTATTTACATAGTAAGTATTGATATTATCTATACAAATAAGATGTAAATAAATATTAAGTGTATTATAAAAAATAATTAAATTATCTAAATTACTAAATTTAATTTTTTAATAAAAATTTAAAAATTTAATTAAAAAATAAAAATTTAGATAAATTCATAAATTTAACTCGTAGGCTTTTGCCGGTAATAACACGTAATCATGAATTCGCAGGTGGAAATGGAAGTTTGTGGAAAAGTTAATGTTGCCCATGGGCAATGATCTCATGTTTTCACCAGCACCCAATGCAGTGGATCCTATTGCTATTCCTAACAATAAAATGGAAGAACATTTAGAGAGAATTTATTGCAACTTACATATTTTTCTGTGTATGTAAGATACATGAAAGAGAAATTCAGAGGGGATGGTGAAAGTGCACTGAAAATAGAATGGTGAAAATGGAGAGGAATCCCAATTCCCACAACAATGCTGACTGAGATAGAGAGCCAAAAATCTAAATGTGATGGGAATGTTTCACCTACTTTCTCATCCCTCCATTATTGGAGTAACAGCGCCCCCCATAGATTCTCTCCCCCTAATTGTTAATACCACCGAACCGTACATTTCTAATTTTGGCATTCGCACCTTTCACCTCAAAATGATTGAAGTTCATGCTTAAGTTCAATGGATATCTAGATAAGGTGAACCGGTTTTTAGGTTTAATGGTTCGATCTCAAATCTTATGGTTCAATCCCAAATCTTAAGTACTTAGGTGAAGTGGTCGGAGTTTCAAGTTCTACCATCGTCGTGAACTCCATCAAAAAATGATTTGATGGCCGTGCGCCTCATTTGAGGGGTGGAATGTTCACTTAGTCTAGGGATCGAATCTCGAATTGTTAACAATTAATTCATACTGATTTCCCAACTATTACCCTTATCAAAAAAAAAAAAGAAGAAGAAGATTTCTAGATAAGGCAACTTGATTGCTTGATATTTCCTTCATCCCCTTCAATTCCATTTGTGTGGCTCAATCGTCATTTTTTTTTTTATTGAAAGCAAAAAAATTTTAAATTCAAATCATACGATATGTGGGTGAAGTGGGATAATGAACGAGAGATGATTACCTTCTATTATGCAACCAAGATAAAAAAAAGAGAAAAATCTCCTCAATCCAAGTAAAAATGTTCATTAAAGGCAAAATGAAAATTATTATTTTTTGATATTAATCCCAAATATTGGAAAGTTTTATTAAACTTTAACTAATTAGAGTTAATTTGCATTGGACCTTATAAGGGGAAAACTTTTTTAGTAGTTTTTTTTTTTTTTTCACAAGACTCGAACTTGAAATTTTGTTTAAAAATAACTGAATTCTTTCTACTCAAATAAATAAATTATTGGTGGTAAATTTATTATTTAGTTGGCATAAGATTATTGTATGAGTGTAACAACTACAATGTTGGTGGTGGTGTAAGAAATAACAAGGGCCGGAAGGATCACTGTGCCCTTTATGTGGGCTATTTTGCTTAGCCCCCACACCCCCCAGCCCCATGATCATAATTCATAAACGTGAACGCTTAGGCTTGGTAGACAGGTAAGTTGGGTTAGGTTCGGGTTAAATCAACTCAAGTAACAAGTTATATGAGTTGGGTTATAAATAAGTTGCGAGTTAGAAAAGTTCAATGTTAACCCGACCCTAATGAGTTATAAGTTAACTCATGGGTTGACTCTATTTTTATTTTTTATAATTATTTTTATTAATTTTATTATATACAAATAAAATTATAGATTTAAATCTAATTAAAGTATTGTAACTTATTAATACTAAGCATTTTATAGTCTCAACTATAAACATTTAAATTAAAAAAAAATCATAAAGTTATAAATAATAGTAAGTTGATAAACAATATTAAACTTAAAATATTTAAATTTCTTTAAAAAAAATTTAATTTTACAATTATCATGAACAATTATCAAGGAGTTTAAGCTCTTTTTTTATGATGAAATTACTCTTCCAAGAGCATCTTTCACTAAATTATTGTGTTTATATCATAGTATCATATTTTTAATATTTTTAGTTGCATTATCATTTAATTCATGATACTTAATAATTAGATCAAACCTATATAATTTTTAGAGAAAGAAGAAGAAATTATGATAAGTAAATACTCAAAATAAGTTCAAAACCATTTGAGTAATGCAAGTGAGGTTAAAGAGTATGAATTAATTAAGAGAGTTACCAATAAAAAAATTAATTAAGAATAATAAGTATAATATTTTTAACAATAATAATAAAAAATAAAACAAATGAGTCAACTCATCAACCCACGAGTTGACCCTAACCTAATCCATGATCTATACAGATTAATATTACATAGTATTTACAGGTTAATGGTTGAAATATGTAAATCCTAACTTGTTTTTACATATTGAATTAAGGTAGAATTGGCGGGTCGGGCAAAATTTTTTGCCATCCGTACGAATGCCCATGGTTCGTCTGATTTCTGAATTCAGTACACAGAATCACAGATGGGCTGTCGGTATTGGGCTTAACTCCCAGCCATGCCTTGTCACAGACAAAAAGGGGAAAAAAAAAGAAAAAAAGAAAAGAAAAAAGAAGACAAGCGCAGAGGGTAAGCCTGCAGAATTCAGAAAACTCTGATTATTTCAGGGTCCGTTTGGGCAATTGTGTTTGCATATTCAGAAAACTTTAAATCTTGCTCCTTTTAGTTTTCAATCAGTGCAAAATTTTGCATTTACTTGTTTTTACTTGTTTCAGTGATTTAGGTTGTGTTTGGGAACTTAAATTTGAATTTGATGAGTGTAATTAAAATACATTGTTTGGATTGAATTAAAAAAATGAATTT